CAACTGCCCTCTCACTGCCCTGACTCCCCCCAACTGCCCTCTCACTGCCCTGACTCCCCCCAAACTACCCTGTCACTGCCCTGACTCCTCCCCAACTGCCCTGACTCCTCCCAAACTGCCCTGTCACTGCCTGACTCCCCCCAAACTGCCCTCTCACTGCCCTCCCACTGCCCTGACTCCCCCCAACTGCCCTCCCACTGCCCTGACTCTCCCCAAACGGCCCTGTCACTGCCCTGACTCCCCCCCAACTGCCCTCTCACTGCACAAACGCCAAGTACATGTCCACCCAGGCCCGCGGCTCTGGTAGCGCAGCCACGTTAATAACTGATGACTCCAGTCCATGTTTGGGGCGAATCCGCTTTCACTTGGGGTCCCGGCTGCTCCGCTGGGCTCCCACTTTCTGAACTGGAGAGGAGAATTGGAAATGAACATCTTCAGGAAGTGTCCCGGTTACCTCGCCTCCCTCTATCTGTTTTTGCCCTTCTGACGCTAACCTCCAAACCCCCAGTCTCTCCCTCCCTCAAATTATCACTTTCCCTCTCTCTGACCAAATCCCTCTGCCTTCTTTGTCACTCCTTGTACAGACAATGTTCCCCCAACGCACCCACTAGCCCCTCACCTCCCTATCCTGCGCCCCCCAGTACTTGGCACTGTGTACGAAGACCAGCTAATACAAAACAGATACCACCACTACAATAGGTACGTAATAATTATTCCCCATATCTGGGAGCTGTTTGCAGACACAGGGAACGGGGCGGGTCAGAGATCCTGCTCATTCGCTATTGGAGCCTGTGTTATCGCTGGTGTCCGTGGCAATGTGCGGACACTTTGTCGTGTGAGAGATACTCCACACTCAATGGAAAGATCTCACCTTTTATCTGCCGCTGCGAGCTGTGTTCAGAAGCTGGGAGCCAGCAGCAGACGGCGGCTGTGCTGTTAGTGAGGGTAAGTCCAGCAAGTGTTGGAATGTTCTGCAGCTCCGGGATTCGGGGCCCGAGTGCCTGTTTTATTTTTGGAAAAGTGTCCCCACTTTCAGTGCCCTTCGCAGGGAATGCCTGCATATCGTTCTTACACGGGGACACCCCCCCCACCTCCACTCTCTTTAGGGATAGTCTCCATTTTCCACACCCACCCTGTTATGCTCTTCTGGGGCAATTCACTATTATCTGCATCCTTTAGGACATTCACAACTCCGCCCCCCCCCTCCTCGTATGCACAGCACCCCACTCCTCTCCCACCCCCCACCCACCACCCACCAAACACCAAACACCAAACACACACTGTCTGCATCCTTTAAGACATTCACCCTCCCTCCTCCCAAACCCCCACCCCTCAACACACACACATAGGCAGCATTCACCATAGTTCCTTCCTCCCCTAACACCCCCACCTATACAATGACCATTGTCTGCACCCTTCAGAACGTTCTCAATATACTCCACCCCAAACACACAGTCTGCCTTCAGCATTCAAGGACCCCACATTTATCTGTCTCTCTGTTCTATCTCACTTGTTTTGAGCTCCTCTGGCTGCTTCTGTGCTGATACCTTGGGCAAAGGAAGCTATCAGTGGGATCATCCCAAATGCTCAGGGCTTTTCTGATTGTTTTTCTCCTTTTGTATTGCAAAACTAGTCTCTTAGCTCCAAAGATGCTAATTGGAGGCATCAATTTTACTGGAATTTGGGTCAGGTTATATTTGACATTACTTACTTGTGTACTTTCAGCATCTAAGTTGTGAATGTCAGAGTAATCCAGAGACTGACATGGTCGTCAGCATTTCTGGTACCGATTCTCAATCTGTTGAATTTTAAGTGTAAAAACATCAGAAAAAGTTTGTTTTCCAGATTTCAGATTTAATCTCATCAAATCTGCCCCATGACAACAAGCAGGAAACAGTCCATTTGTTATCAGTGACCAAGCGATATTTCCAGGTCTATGCTAAAGAACTGCTTTATTCATGCTAGCTGCTTTAGATGGTCTTTGGTGAGTTTCATGTTAGGTTTCATCTGTCTAGGCTGCAGACTCTTTCTCAGGGAGTGTAAAAAATTACATGGCATCACTTTGAACAGGGGAATTTTCCCTATGGCCTGGTCAGTACCCGCTGAACAGATTAACTGGCATTTCATCTTCTTACTATTGTTTTTGGAATATTATTGCATTCACACTGGTTACTACATTTGCTTGCACAACATCTGGGACCTCATGTTAAAAAGTAATCTGTTAGTTGTGTTGCATTTTGTGGCATTGTGAAGACATGAAAAGTGCTCACTATATCAGTGCAAATACTCTTACATAAACTTATCTGTCCTGTCATTTGGGAATTTATGCTGGATTCAGTGACAATGAATGAAAATTTAGGTAGAGCAAAAGGTATGGAACATTTAGCAAACACAACATAAACTTACTGAAGGTCAGTTATCCTATATGATGGTATGTGTAGTATAACATGGGCTTGGGCGACAAATCGATAGGAAGTAGATTCAGCAATATACTTGATTAGTCAGCAAATAACATGATGAGCTGCACGTTCAGCAATGGATACCCAGGGTACAGTGAGTCATATCTAGGAATTTTCACTTAGTTTGATTCTCTCACCTCCCCACCCCCAAATTGTACCTCCCGGTCCTTGCCAAAGTTTGTGAACTGATTTCCTGATTTCTTTTCAACTCTCAGAGACAATAAGGACTGCTGGAAGCCAGAGTCTATAGGTGTGAGGCTAGAAAAGTACGGCAGGTCAGACAGCATCTGAGGAGCAACAAAGTCAATGTTTTGGGTCAAAACATTGACTTTCCTGTTCCTCTGATGCTGTGCTTCTTTTCACCTCAGTCTGAGTTCATTTAGTGAGAAGGATGTAGCTAAATCCACAGTTAAAGATCACTTTGTGAATAGTGCAATGTGATAGATGCTTCGTCCCCTTTTACAATTTGACTTGCTCTGAACTTGGCTCCCCTCTAACAAACTGCCTCGAGACTTCGACTAAAGTAAATTAGTAAATTGTTAAATTACAAGACCATGGCAATTTTCCTCATTTTTCTTTGCTGATTAAACTGCTTTTATTCTAATGTTGTCCAGCAGTTTATCAAAACAAGTTTTAATTTCCTCAGAAGTTGCAATTTACACTGGTACATTGGAGTCCAGTGTAGCTTGTCATATTCATTTTAACCAAAAGAACAAGAAATGATACAGATGCAGCAGTTGCATTAGACGAAACGTGACGTTATGTTAAGCTGAGTTTTATAAGGATGAGTAGTTAGTAACCTAAAAAATTCCCATTCTGCCCAATTAACTCTTTACACTGAAGTTTTCACCACTTTTCCTCCTGATGTTAGATTTGACTATCAAAGTTTTCCACATTTTGTTATGTATAGACTTGATGATTTCCCATATTAAGAAATCTGAATAATGGAATCTTTTGATCCTGAGATCAGCTACATTTGTCAGATCTCCCAGTTTTGGATACCAGATTGAATTTGATCAATAATTTTTGATGAAGAGATTTGTAGATTGCTGTGTGATTAAATATTCCCAGAGAGAAATAAACAAATGTTCATCTGGAAAATATGTTGTACAGAAACACATTTCTGTTTCGGTGCTTCCTCTGCGAAATACGAGCACCCAATACAGTGACAGCCTGTGATATTAATCACTGGATGGCACATCATGGATTGGATTGTGTAGTTTGCCCATTGGTGCTACTTGAGTCCCCATCAGAGTTCTCCCTGATCAGAGGAAATAGAGCATGACAGCCTACAATCAGAGAGAGGCAGGTGTTTCAGACACCAATATCAATATGACTGCAGCTCAGGCATCAATAATAACAGTCGAAAATCCTACTGACTGTATTTAACATTGTTAAAATCAACACCTCACTCTCCTAACAGTGGTCGAAAATGAGCAAACCTTTCGGAGAAATGGCGGAAATGGCTGTTTACCGCAGTTATTTGAGATTTCTGCTGACCTTCCCAATGAGCTACAGCAGGAGACTGGGAGAACACCCGTGGAAATCCCAGGCGCCAGTGTATTGTGTTATCATTAAGTTTTGTCTGTTTGCTCGGGAACCCATCCACAAACATCCTAAAGTAATCTCCTCAAGTAGTTAGATAATAGTGAGTCACTAGTTTTCCTGGGAAAGACAGCAATTGCAAATTCCCAGGACAGATGGCGCTGGTGCTGAACAAATTCAAATCAGGATATTGAGAAAGAACAGGGATCTTCCCAACTTTAGGGTCAGATGGAATAGTTAACAGAAAGCACACTGGGAAGTGGAGAAGATTTCTGTTGCAGTGTTCAGTGAGGATTTTATTATGAGATAGAAACAAATTGTTTACAAAATTGTAACAAAGCTAAATTTTGTTTAATGTGTTCATTCAATAATATTTGCATTTTTTGTGCCTTATATTTTCATTTATAATTGTTTTTTAGATACTTTCAGTTTTAAAAGTTTAATCTGTGTTTCATATTCCAACAATCCAAAGAGATTTCTTGCTAGAACTTGGTGAGTTTAGAGTGCTGATAAGGATTAATAATTATTATTGAGTAATAGGCCCCTGAAAAGAACAAATTATCTGTAAAAGGCTAGGTTCCAGACCATAGTTTACACAAACTGCTCTCTCAGTGGAGAAAATCAGAAATTATAATTCTGATGTTTGGAAAAGGAGGAAAACATGGGACAAAGATCAGTTAACCTAAAAATATCTGTAATAGGAAACACTTGTAAGCATTGTATGAGAGGTTATTAGTGCTCATCAATCATCAGAGGTAACTATGCTCGTGTCTCATTAATCTGTTGGAATTCTTTGAAGAGCCAAACAAAACTATGGATACAATTTAAATTTCCAAAAAGACATTTGATAAAGATCCACGTGTGAAGATTTTCAAAGAACTTGCAGAATAAATATTGAAAATAATTTGTTGGCTTGAAAACTTGTTTAGCAAATATGAAAGAAAGGCAGTGATAAATGGAAGAAAAAATATCTCACTCCTGGAGGTAGCTACAAGCTCAATTCTGCTGAGATCTTGACTAAGACTGGTTGCAGTATAAAATTTAAAAAAATAATAGTTATCTCAGATTCTGGAACATGTCTTAAAGCCTTATGAGGTGCCAGAGCCCTTTTTTTTTTAAGTAAATTATTTATTTATTAATTACTTTTCAGTGAATGAATTTTTCTAGAAACATAGCCACAACTTATTTCATAGACAAACATAGCCGCCAATTTACACACAGTGAGGTCATATATACAGCAACACAATGCACTGGCAGTCCCTCCATTTCTGGTAGTGTTGGTTGAAAGATAAGTGGGCATTTGATGATGCTATACAAAGAATGAAACTATATTTGTACTGCAGGTTTCACCTCATGATATACTAGAATTGCTAACCCCAAGTGTTTACTTTTAAAGAGAGATCTGTTTAGTAGGTAAATATGATAGTTATTCATGCAAAAAAAATCTTTAAACAGCAAATGTGATGGATGGGAGTTACATGATCTAGACGTCAAAAAACATAGATAATATTGATAAGGCTATTTTACCTAGATTATGAGCACAAGATTATATAGCATACGTGCAAATCTAACAAACATCAGGCAAGGCTAGAGATTACAGGAAACACTCATGGATCTGTGAAATGGTCAAGCAACAAATGTAAAGGTTGAGTCAGGATGCTTATTTTAAGATAAAGGGCTCTGTAAGTGAACCTGCTTGTTGTCATATATTTATGGAGCCAGAACTGGACCAATACATTCAGTATATAGCAAGTGTCCAGCTCCAACAAACTTAATGTTCTCATCCACAGCAGGTGGTTTAAGCAGCGCTTTCAATTTTCAGTTTAGTTTAGCAGCCTTGTTTAAGTACTTCTTTCCATTCTTTCCCTATTATGTCCCACTTTACTGAAGTTAGAATCAAATGACAATATGGGATTGAAAACAATAGAAAGCAGACTAGTC